CTGGCCTGCGGTGGCGGCCGCGATGCCACGGAGCGGCAGATGTTCGCTGCCCGCGTGGTCATCCTGCTGGTGCCGTCCACCGTGATCCTGGCCTCCTATGGGGCGGTGGCGCGCGCCGTGTGGGGCATGCGCGCCAGCGGGGGCCGCAGGAAAGCCTTGGGCACCTGCGGGTCGCACCTGACCGCGGTCTGCCTGTTCTATGGCTCAGCCATCTACACCTACCTGCAGCCTGCGCACAGCTACAGCCAGGGACGGGGCAAGTTTGTTTCCCTCTTCTACACTGTGGTCACACCGGCCCTCAACCCACTCATCTACACCCTCAGGAATAAGGAAGTGAAGGGCGCAGCCAGGAGACTCCTGGCGCGAGGGCAGGCTGGACAGTGAGTTTAAGTGGGTGGGTGTGGGAGGGGGAGAAAGTGTTAGCTCAGCCCACGGTCAGAGCTGCCCCTTGGCAGGTCTGTCCCCTTAGCCTCAGCCTGTTGACCCTTTATGAGAATCGCCAAGACCTGTCCTTGCGGAGTCCAAAGCTAACGAGAGGTCCCTTTCCCATCAGGAGAAATGTTCCTGTGCTTGAGGACAATCCCTGTGTCCTCCACAGATGTCAGCTTAGGGAGGGGTCATGGCCTCCAGCTTTCTTCTAACCTAGGAAGAGAAAGCATGATTTAGGGAATATCTTTCCCTCCCAGGAGTATTGTAGCCCCTCTGGAGAATCCAGAAGAGGACAAGTATGATGCTTCACTATGGCTTTCTCCCCACCTGAAAGACTCCATGGGAGGCCTGTGGTGTCTGCAACGGGAGTCTCTAATTGGCAAGAAAATCAAAAGCTCTACCCTACAGGAAACCCCTATCTAGAAAAAGGAGCATGTTTGTGAGAGGAAATCAGTCCCACCCAGTGCTCACCAGCCCGGTGACCATGCCCACCACAGCAAGGAGGAAATTGCAGAGTGGGCTTGCTGGGTGGGGTTAGCTTGAGAAACTCTTTCGAACAAGTTTTGCTTAAATTTTTTTAAACATACAGTCACTGGGGTACAGGTCAGAGGTACAGGGTGTATGTGTGTGTGTGTGTGATATGATCCAACAGAGACAGAGTTGGGAGCAGAACAGGAGAAGTGACTGAAATACACTGCTGAGGGGAGCAGCAGGAAAGACAGGAGAGATCTGCTGGACTGTGTGGGTCAGCTCCCAGGCCTGAGATTTAACTAAGCTGCAGTGACTTCAGGCACCTTCACAGTGCTGCACTTAAACCCCTTGCACCAACAGGGAAGCTCTTTCACCAAATTTTAAAGAAGAGTGCGAACTAGTTTAGTGGAGAAGAAGGTGGATGTGTGTCAGGTTGGAGAAATAAGAGAGCGATAGTGACACAGAGAAGTAAATGAAGGGAGTGAATGAAAAGGACAAGAGATCACCAAAGAGGAGCAGACAACTGATGTTGAGGGAAGCAGAGGAAGATGCACTATTTACCAGAACTTGAGCAGTGCTGGGATCCAGCCAGAATCCAGCTCCTGCACTCAGATAGATGCCCCTAGCTCAGAGAGGACCTCCCAGACCCTAGGACATGCAGAAGAGAGAGGACTTCACAGTTGCCTGCCTTTTCAAATATCAGGTCCCTCTGAAAGGCAATCTGCTTCTAAAGAAACTCCACAGGAGAGATAAAATCGCTAGGTGCCCAAGGAAGTATATTTCCATACCCACCATCATCCCCAGAAATAAGGACAGTTTTAATTGGGTGTGGGACACAGTAAGAATCCAAACAGTTTTAAATAAGGAAAGAATTAATTTAATTTAATTTCCAAATTCTTTATTAGAGAATGATCATGTTGGGTAATGAATTCACTTCAAAATCACTTTACTGTTCTCTATAAGTAAATTCATTTTGGTTCAACAATTATTGGGTAACATGATAGATGAATTCCTAGGTCAACAGAGAAACACAGAAATTAATACAGCATGAATTTGTTAAATGGGAAAGGAAATACCAGTTTTTCTATAAATCAGCTAAGTGAACATTAAATTGCAAGCTGGCTAGATCTAATTTTTTGCCTTAAAACTTTTTTTTTTATATTTTCAGTAATATATTATACACAGAATTGCCGCTTAATTATGTTAGAATCAAAGCATCCCAGCGTTAGTTGAAGCTTCTTCCCTGTTCCACATGAAATCTACTTTCCCCATATATTTCTTATTCATTTTGGGGGGTTATGGTTATGATGCGATTGGCAAGTAAGAACTAGAAAAAAATAAGATTTTGTTTCTCTGGTATCACTCCTTCCCAAGGGTGGTCACCCCCCAACACAGAAAGGGGTCAGGAAGAAAGTAGTGCTCTTTTTGATGCCATACTCTGCCATGGTCTTCCCATCTTCCAGTTTCTTCCCATTGCAAGTCACAATCTGTCTCTCAGGGGTTACACCAGTGCTGTCCTCAATCATCTCTTTCACCTGAGTCACCGAGCTGGACCTTCGCACCTGGAGGAGGTGCCTTTGCCCCTGGTCACCCGCCTCCACCAGAATCACGGGCAGCTCCTCGTCACTGGGCGTCACTACCTTCAGAGTGAGGTGGATGGTTGTCTCCTTGTCAATGCCGTACGATGACAGCGTTCTGCGGGGCTCTAGGGTCTTTGAGCCGAGCATAAGGACCTGGTCCTGCACGGGAATCTTGGTGCGAGATCGGACATATTCATTGATCTTCCTCACTCTGTCGCCAGAGTTGGCAGGGAAAGTTCTTAATTTCCATTCCTCAGAATGGACATGCACCTGGACGACAAAGCACAAGGAACAGTTGCTGAGAATACTTGTCATCTTCACACGCCTTAAGTGCTTCCTGTCTTGAGTTGCTCCCACCCCTTCTCTGCCTGTCTGATCCTCCAGCTCCTTTACAGGAAGTCATGTCCCTCCATTTTCTGGAACTTCTCTTTTGGAAATTCCAGTTTATAGCACAAACATGGAAATCAGTCTTATTCTTTTATAACCATTCCTTTTATCCATTGAAAATACCATTAATCATGTCCTACTTTTTTTTTAACCAAAGTCTCCTGGAGATGGTGTGTCAAATGTCAAGAGAAATGGAACAATATATCATCCGAAGTTGTACACCAGATTCTAAAGACAACTCCCCAAAAGAATTGGGGCCCTCATAGGGCTGTACTCCATGACTGCCCCAAAGGAACCCATTATGTCACATGGGCTCTGTACTGTTGGTTTCTTTTTATAATGTCCCATTGTTTTATTACAGTTGCCCACATGTTATTGCGACAGTATGTTCAGTGTCATTTGCTCATCTGTACTTTCCATGTTCTCAGATCTACCTACTATAGAATATTATCTTCTATTTAGACCAGTTCCCAATCACAGAAGATAGGGACTATGTCTGACTCCTACTTCAATAACCTGAAATGGGAAGCTTTCTCTATTTTGCCACTTGAAATACTTGGGTATGAGTCCTTCATGCTCCATTGAAAACATTTTCTTAATCAATATCTAGATTCCACTCCCTTCCCCCATCCACCCTTTTGGGTTTGTGTAACCCCTGTGTTTGTTAGTTTCAAGGTAGTGAAGTGATCTCAAAACAGCTCTTACTGGAAGAAATTTTGACTTCACTGGAATTTAAACCAGCTCCAGATAAGAAAAAAGTAAGTCCTCACATTTTTTTTGTCATTGGGGTAACACGTCCCATATTTTAGACTAAAGGGGGTGTTTTGCTTAAATAAAAATGACGCTGAATGTTTATCTGTATGAAGGGTTTCTGGATAAAGCTTTATTCCTGTCACATTTGGCAGTACCTTCTACTTTACTATTAGAAAAGCTATTATTTAAATAGTGATCAAATGGCACACTTCAAAAGTCATTATAATTAGCCTTTCATTTTCCTATGGGAAATCTTCCTCATATAGATGCCACAGGGACTTCACATACAGTCCGTGGGGAAGTAATGCCCTCAGACAGGTCTCCTCAGGTGCCTGCAGTCTACATCAAGGGAGGCATCAGGTAAATACTACTTAGGAAAGGTGAGTTTCGTGACTTTCTCTGTGGGGAGGAGAGGGAAGCATAAAGTCCTGAGCCCCTAGACAGGATAAGGTGAAAGGGGCCCATGATCAAATTTTCACAGTCTCTAATCTTGCCTCCATCTTAGCACACAACTCTTCTGACATTTTGTCCCTAACTGTGGCCACTCCGAGGTCTGACACGAAAGAGCTCAGGGGCCCACTTCCCTGGACAGACCCTTCCCCGAGTATTGTGTAGGTATGAGTGCTCCTCTCAGCCCCTTCGAGGTTCCTTCCCAGCTAGCTGCCTCCCTAAGTATGGCCTCATCCATTCTCATCATTTCTCTCCAGCCCTAGATGGGGCTTCCCTGTCCCCACACCCGTAATCATTCCCACTTACACGGAGGCAGGAGGCGTTGGGAGGCATCTCTTCAACACGGAGATCATGAAAAGAAGTGAGCAACAAAGTCCTCCCACCTGCTTAGATGCAGGGCTCAGCTGGAAATCCCCACTGGGCGGGGTGTGTTGGGCACCCTTTGACTGTTTTTGTGCTGTTCTCTTTCACTTTTGCTTGGTGGAGGGAAGAGACAAAATGACTGTGGTAAAACACTTTTCCCTCAACATTTTTTCGAAAATATGATGACCTTTCTTTTTGAGAAATTTTCCCTGATTAACACGTCCTCCCTCCTCCTTCCCCACCCCTTCCCCCCTGTCCTGACTTAGAAGTGTCCAGTGTACACTATGGACCCTCACTCATGAGAAACTTTAATCCTTTGTGGTCCTTTCTGCTGCTTGTCAAGGGCATACCTGAGAGCGAGGGAGCTGGGAGGGATTGAGAATCCCTCATGTTGACCACGTCAAGGTGACCACGAGCAGCCTGTTCCCACCAGCCTGCCAGGACGTGGGCAGTGGCCTGGAGAAGACATGAAGTGAAGAGCCCTCCTGAGCAGAAACCTAGCTTCCATTCTTAAGGGTGCCCCTTAAGAATGCTCCCCTTAAGGGTGCTCACTGCCTTTGATGTTGGTTATCTGATTTATAAAATGGAATCATTGAAGAAAATCCCTATGGGTTTTCTAGGCTCAGAAACATCTGTTATGAAATGTGTTTTACAAAGAATTCCTGGTCTTGAGCTCTCATGGGTTCCCATATCCTACCTACCCCCAAGCCTGCAATCCAAGGTGGCTATTTGAGAACATTTCAAAGGCTGTAATCAAAGGCTCACTCCCATCTCCCATTGGACACCCCAGTAGCTGTATCCAGTCTCACACTGTGGTGCCTCTGTTTTCCCCCTGACTCCTGGGCACTCCGACTGTGAGCTCAGAAATGGTGCTGCTTCTCTTGGGATTTGGATGGGGACAAGAGGACATGCCTGATGCCTTCAGGGAAATGACTCAACCTTCTGGTCCTCCTAATTTTCCAAATGAACCATTGTCCTCTCCCAATCTCTCAGGACATTGTGCCTGAGAGTTAAAATAACAACAACAACAAAAACATATAAAACACAATTAGTGAGTGCCATTATTTTTCAAAATGAAAAATTGATAAAAACAGCCATTTACAGTGACGATTCAAGAATTTACACCTTGCAGACCCTACATTTATAGCAGTCTCTACACGGAGTTATGGTATGTGAGAGCTCCAGCTAATTTAAAACAAAGCAGAATAGAACAGAACAATACTTCACGTAAATCTTGTTCTTACATTATACCCTTTTTAGCCAGCTAATAACATTGGTAAAGGTGGTTATTATTTCAAATATTTGTGGGGTAGACATATTTTTAAAATACACATAGCTAATATGAAGGGGAAGAGTGCATTTTGGGATAGATTGCAAATTTGGTGAGTATTGTTCTCTTTTCAAATATTTACCCAGATCTATCACCTCCTGTGTTTCAAAACCAGGAAACTGGTTGTTGCGGCAGAGAAGGGGCTCCTTGCACCCCCCTGTCCAATAGGAGCTGGGGGCTCTGAATCATCACCAGTGGCCAGGCAGAATATGTCAAATCAGGTTGAGAATGATGGGAAAGTGAAAGCCCTTATAACTACAGAGACGGTATTGAGCCTGTAACTACGAAAGGAAATGTAAAAAGACTTCAAAAAGATAATCTAGTGCCATTCATAGCAACATGGATGGAGCTGGAAGAGATTATGCTCAGTGAAGTATGCCAGAAAGAAAAAGAAAAATTCAGGTAGTTTTACTTATAGGAGAAAGATGGGGAAAAAATAAAGGAGCAAGGAAAAATAACAATTGAAAAAAAGCAATATAGTAAAGCTTAAAAAAATAAGCAGACAGCTGATTACTTTTTAAAATTTATTTTAATAATATAATAGTTTATTTTTATATCTTTTTGTGTATTTTTCCAGGGGTGCAGGAGACATCTGATTATTTTAAAGCAGAGACATTCTGCAGGGGATGGGGAGGGAGTGGGTATGAAACATGGGCAGGAAGAACACAAGGGAGTAAGGATTGGTGCACCAGTGACCTGGTGGTGGAAATTCTATGGGGACAACACCTGATTTAAAACATGTATAAATACAGAAAAAAATGGAAAAGAACACACAGACTTAAGTTGCTCTTCTTTACAAATTTTATGTGCACCGATTACCATCATAGGCACATTACTTCTGGAAGGTGAAGGAGGGCAGACATTTAAAGTAGCTTGAAATCACTCTCAAAATCGCTAATTCATACACTGTTGTATAATTAGTATGTACTTTGGTGCCGTCACTGGATAACAATATGGAGTTTTCTCAAAAAGTTGACAAAGAACCATCATGCGATCTGGCAGTTCTACCTTTGGGTATTTATCTGATGATCTTTTTATGCAGGACTTGTGGGGAGAAGATAAAGGTGAGGCCTGAGGTGAGGGGGTGAAAGATTCACCAGAGATTAGTGGAGAACAGAAAGGGAATTTATAGAAGTGAACTGTTACAGGAAGCAGTGAGGGCTCTCTGCACAGCTCACTGAAGCCACTGCACCATGAGTTCCCTCCACAGCCAGGGAGCTGACCCACATGGCTCAGCAGACATCTCCTGACCCACCCGCTGCTCCCCTCAGCAGTGTATTTCAGTAGATCTGACAATTCTGCTCCCCACTCTGTCTCTGGTGATTCCTCTCACCTACCACACCTCTGGCCTGAACCCCAGTTCTGTAACCATAAATAAATAAATCTTAAAAAAAAAGGAGCAGTGTTTGGGAAGGGAGAAGTCCACATGCAAAGGATTTGGGACTTTCGTAACTTCCCTTTTGTAACCTGTTTCCTCAGACTTTTCCTGACTGGGAGTCTGTTTAGTCTGGTGAGTGCCTGGATACCTGGTCTTGGAGGTTGACTCTGATACAGGAAGGTTCTGGCTCTTCTTCCACAGTCAGACTTTGGCCTGGCTCCCAGGGCAGCCTTATCAATTCCCTTTTCTGTATTCAAGATTTCCCAATGAACTAGCTGGGCAAGGGGTGGAGACTTAGATTTTAACCTCACTACATGATACCCTGGCAGGAGTGGCGCCCTTTTGCAAAGGATGGTGCACTCTGGGGAAGGAGTAAAAGCAGATGCAGGAAAACAGAGGCTGCAATGCGGGGCCCTGGGACACCGGAGAGCGACAGCATCATCCCCTCTGTCAGGCCCTGCCTGAGCCATGCTGTGACCTGGAATGCACCTAAGGAATCCAGGGTGAGGTCAGAGCGGGTGAAATGTGTCATTGAGAGGTTCCCTGCTCTGTGACAGAGCATAGAGGATCTGGTTTCTGAGAAACGGTGTCATTTCAAGGAATGTAAACAAGCAAATCTGGACTTTCATCCTCGCTTTCTATGTCAAGGTCCTAAGCAGGCCAAGTGGGGTGTGGCTGTCAGACTGTCAGACTCTCTGCGGCCTTGTGTGGCCACAGGGACCTGCTCTCTTCCTGGCTGCTTATCACAGTGTCCATCTGACTTTCCCCCCTGTGTGTCACATACATTTTTCAGAGATAGAAAGGTCTCTTTTCATTTGTCCTGCTACCAAACTCATGATGCCAGCAAAAGTGAAAGATCCTGCTATGGAGATCTTGTCAGGTCACAGAACACAAGTTTATAAGCCTTGGCCCTAGGTGACGGGACAGCCTTGGGCTAGATTCGCCTTGGCCCAGATTCTCTCCCAGTGAGGCTTCCCTGGAGCAGACACCTCTTTCTGATCTCTTTAATAATGTCCATGAACAAGTTGATAAAACTGCTTTGAGATCTGGAATATTGCTTCAGGAATGCCAGCCAAACTGAATCAAAAGCTACTGTGAATCCTCACTTATTGGTGGTTGGTAAAAACATTGTTCACTCTCAAAGGACAATTTTGGAAACACTTACCAACATTTGATATAGGCATGCCAGACTAAAACTACCCAGTGCCTTTCAGGAATAGGGCAAGAGATAACTGAGAGTATAGCATCATCTGCATTGAAAATGTGAGAATTATACTTGTAAGCAACACTGTAGATACATAGACTAGAAACCTATTGGGTGAAAAAGCCTAGAATAGATGTGATAAAGCATGATACTCTTAATACTAAAAGTGTGTTTTACCATTTATAATTGCATCTTATTTTGTACTATCTCCTTTTCTGGGTTTTTTCAGTCACTTTGTTCTAGCATTATCTATCCACATTGCTGTCTGTAGGTATTATTCACACACTTTCACTGCTGATGACACTTCACAATAAATTTTCTGTTTCCCTAATACTGAAAGCTACCATATGACCCAGCAATTCCACTCCTAGCAATCTGTTCAAAGACCACAAAAAATTAATTCAAATGGATATCTCCACCCCTATGCTCATTGCAACACTATTTATAATAGGTAAAATATGGAAACAATTCAAATACCCAAAAACAGGAAACCAGATGAAGCGATAATATATATACACAATGGAATACTATTCAGCAATCAAAAAGGACAAAACTTTTTCACAAGAATGTGGATGGAACTAGAAGGGGTTATGCTCAATGATGTAAGATAGAGTGGAAAAGAAAAATATCAGATGGTTTCACATCTGATCAGGGAAAGAAAATAATAACAATAAAAAACCCCAATAAACAGGCTGCTGTAAGTCAGAGAATTCTAATTTATTCTGCAGAAGAGTAGGAGGGAGAGATATCAAATGAGGGGAGGTAAAACACAATATCTATGGTGGTGGTGATGGGAATTCTATGGGGACTACACCTGAGAGGAGAAAGCAAACATTGTACAAAATGAACAATGGTGTAATGTATAAATAAATAAAACATGAAATTATATAATGTATCAATAAAGATGTATATTTCTACCTGAAAAACAAACAAACAAAAACAAACCCAAATCTCAGAACTCACATTTCAGAGAACAGGACACAGAGTTTGGTCCCCACAAAGGTACTGTTAACACAGACACACAGGTGTGTTCCCTCTGCAGGGAACAACCTTGCTGCTGCACTTCTGACACAGGTTGCCCTGAGT